CTCCAAAATAATCCAGACAACTATACTGTCAAGCAATTAAAACGCTAGTTGAGATGTGGAGGTCAAAAAGTGCCAGGAAAGCGAGTTGACTTGGTTGCTCGCGTTAAGAGACTATATAGGAACTCGTTCATCCTGGCCAGTTGCCGTCTCTGACGATCTAATTGCTTCCATATCAATATATAAACTGTATGTTGGACTCAGTTTTTTAAATAGTTTTTGTTTACATGACTTAGTAAATAACCCAATTCAGCTCTTTGGCTGCGATTTATCTTTGTTTAATAAACTATCTATAAGTCTAACTATACGCTCGAGGATGAAGGACGTGGACATATGACGGACAAACCTTTTAAAAACGGGACGAAAACATGTCGATTCCCGTTTTGTGCGATGTAACAAGGGCAACAGACAAGAGCGACCATTATTATGAAACTAACTTGCCTCATAATGTATTAGTCTTTATCCATACATAGTGGAGCGGTAATACACGCTTCATGCGAACCGTGTTAAGTATCTGTGCTTGGCTGATGCAGACACGTTGTTACCGTTTTATTGATGTTGTTGGACTACAACGCTACAAGAACAAGAATTGATCCATTGTAGGCATGGTTCGAGGTCATGAGAAGGCTTCAAGACAGTCAAGAACGGTATAAATACTTTCTTACTCAATTTTCTTAAATTCTTTGAGAGACTGAGGCATTCTATCTGTATATCGTGAATCTGTATTGCATCTGCCCCAACGCCAGTGCTTTGTTCCGATCATATTGATAAAAAATCCAGAGAAATCTAAATAAAATTGAAAGTTACATGGTCGCGCTACATACATTCACTACAAACTTGACCTCTTGTTTGTCCGAATCTCCGTGGGGAGTCTMATCTCTCAAATCTATTTTTAGTATATCCGCGCAGCGCTATTGATTAATAGAACAGTGTATACAGCTATTTCAGAAAACGTTGACGGGGGGAAAGGCTAACGACGATTTTCGAAGGTAGATTGCACGACCGAAAGGGACTATAGTTATGTAACACTCTTAAATCGAAGACAGGTACTACAGGTACTACAGGTACTACAGGTACTAGAGCACATGGCATTCTATTACATACTGCTAACGACGATTTTTGAAGGTAGATTGCACAACCGAAAGGGACTATAGCTACACTAGCTGTTTTGACAAGCAAAATTTCACTTATTTGATTCACCATACATAGAAATGGAGCCAGTGTTAACCACAGTCTATCTTACAGTACAAATCAGTTGTTATTGCCTTTCAACTAGCAAAACCCATGGCTACGTTCGGTCGTGGAATTGCCGTTCGACCACTGACATTCGCCATTTTATCCGACTACCTTTTTTGAAATAGCTATATATTCTTAGAAGATTAAACATGTGTACTATATACACAAAATTCGTTGAAAAGTGTCCAGGTGTAGTATTGGCGATCATTCCGTTCTAAAACAGACTGATTCTCTATACTCTCTTTTTCGTATTCATAGCTACGTTATGAAGAAACTTCAACAGCTATAACCGTTTTGAGAGTATCAGAATGTACCTCATAGGTGGCTACCTATTTAATTGGTATTTGGATCAGTATGAAAGCATTGACCAAAGTTTTGTCTGGCATAATATTTAGCTTCATTAAAGTTACCTAGGCAACGGAAATCGCATTTTGTCGAAATTCGTTTTTGCCAAATATCTCTAAAAATTGATCAGATCCAGAAAAGTGGTAGACATCATCGTTAACTTCAAACTATTGCACAACGTTCTGGAATAGTTGAAAACAAAAATTCATCTGTTCGATTTCGAGTAATATTGAGAAATATTTTATAGATGCGATAAATCATATTACTCAATACATTCCCTTGAAAGGGTGTTCTCGTAATATTCGCTCGTTCTATTTTCCTCATAAAGTAATCTCTCTCCAAGTTTGGGAAAATATCGTCCCAAAATAAACACGCATTTTCTAAACGCTTGTCCGGCATATATTGAAGTGGACAATTCGGGTCAACATTTCTTTGTGCGCATGCCTACTACTATCATACCTGCGTACGCATGCGCTGATTTTAGTCATTTTGTTGCCGAACGAGGAAAATAACAATCATAATCATAATCAAAATATAAAACTAACGATGCTGAATTTTATTTTTTAAATTTTAAACCCGAAAATAAGCTTATGTCTTTTAAATGTGGACAATTCATGGATTAAAATGTAGTATTTAGATTAACTTTGTGGTTTTTGAAAGATAATAGTTCAACGGATTGTGAACGAGACCACCTTGTTCGAAGCTGCGCTTCACAGACGACAGATGATTGACGGCTCAGAAAAGACCAAATTCTCATTGTTGTAGCCAAATTCATCAACCAAGTAACGCACATTTAAATAAGTGTGTGGTTCTATTCACAATCAACAAAATATTAAGTATACGGTACATTACAAATCTACTATCTACTGGTTACAAGAAATATAATATAGAAAATACAATTCAAATTTACCTTGTCGGTGAATTACACGGCTTGACTACAACATGAGAAAACTAAACGAATTTACATATTACGAACTACTAAGAACAGAATACTATACTCAAGGGAAACATATCATTACATACCAGTTACTTATCGGACAAAGGAAACGTAAACAGTTCTGCTCAAAACACTTAAATAGAAAATAAATAAATATATATCTNTCAACAGTTGATTTTAGCTCCGGACACGTGACACCGAATCGTCCAATAAGATAGCGAGAAAACAGTGAAAATAATTTACCAATATAACAATGTATGTTGTTTCTCTCGCGAATGACTTATCCAACGTACACTGAACAAGGACAAAAAAAACACTAAGTAAGATGCCTGAAAATATCAAAGGCTTTGGTAAAGTGTTTTTAAGTGGTAGTTAAAATATAAACTTTTTCTTATATTTCTAGTTGCTCCCGCCATCGTAAAGTCGTCTCCAAAAAACGTGACCGTGTACAAAATCTTGAGCCGTGTCAAATTAAACTGTTCGGCTAATGGATCACCGCTGCCAACGATCGAGTGGAGCAAAGATGGCCGACCTTTATCTATAAACACTACAGTTCGCAAGACCAATAAAGCAACTATAGGCGAGTTAGTCATTGATCCCTTCATGCCAGAAGACCAAGGACAATACAAATGCTTTTTTAGAAACTACGAGAATGGAACAGCCGAAAACACAATACAAGTCTGTAAGTTTAAGATTGAAAGAACCCATCATGATGAAGCATTAATTCCACAATAGTACTACATCCTTGACGCACCAATCAATAATGCCAACGCTTAATAACGCATCCAATTCATTCACGATCATTGCCGAAGTTTATAGTGAAAGAAGGGAAAATAACGAAAGAATGAAAACATACCCTAGGGCTCCATTACAATGTTACGTAAATCCATCATTGAGTAGGTAACTTAACAACCCAAACTCTATCACGTAACACAAAGACCATAATGAACACAAAATATATCATAAAATTCCTGTATTTCTTCAACTCTTATAGCCCTAATGAGCTGTGGCGATCCTGGAAAACTCCTGAATGGCTTTTGCACTGGCAATGAGTTCTGGGCTGGAAATATGGTATTTTATACTTGTGATCCTGGTTACTACTTGGTGGGAGCATCCAACCGACTTTGCCTGGAAAATGGTGCATGGAGTAACTCCATTCCATCATGTAAGTTATTTTCCTCTCTAGCTTGTACTACAACAACATTGTCATATAGGATACATAGCAGATACTGACTTTTTTACACTAAATCAATATGATAGTCCTTCCGTATCACCTAAATTAACGTTTCTCAATAAATAGTCACTTTCTTGCTTGACAGGTCGTCGTCTTTGTCCCGAGATGGTTCCTCCTGAGAATGGATACATGGTAGGTGATTTCCTGGCCAACAACTCTCTCACTTTCAAATGTAAACCCAGTTACTGGATCCTTGGAAACAGTTACTTCCTTTGCGATTCCAACACAGGACACTGGAAAGATTTCAAGGGAAATTTTACCACTGAAAAACCGCAGTGTAAAAGTGAGTAAATGATCGCACATCGTTGTCTCTTAAGTAAGACAATTTACTGTGAAAAGCAATAAGAAATCACGTTCAACCATAAACAGGTTAATTCAATTAATAATTAGATTTCGCCTTTTGTTCGGGTACCAATAACAGCTAAACCAGGGGTGCCATCTTTATGCTGTTATCATCAATCCTTATGCGATAATGCGATTCTCTGACATTTAAAAATTGTCAAAATAAGTCAGCAACAACTTGACCAATAATGAATGAGTTTCCAGTAATTTGATCCCTCACCAAACGCAATGCATGCATGGATTGTCAAGAGGCAAACAAAGCGAGACTTCCAAGAGTTCGTATTTACATGTTTATCGCTCGATAAAAAGTTTTTACGTAGTTTTTACAGGATATTATCAGGAGGTAGTTGTGCAATCTGGATACGTAAGTTTTTAACGATATATGTAAAATTATAGGCGAAAAACTCGATTTTCTGTCGCAATTCGCATTGTGAAATGTACACAGTAAGTTAACACTTCGCTCATGGACTTTTAAGAAAATAAAAAAAATAGTTAAAATAGTGAGATTTTTTTTTCAAGATTAATGCATGATTGCAATCATTCTACACATATGCTACAATGTGTGAAACATTGTTACTGTACACTACAAACTTTACTGAGATATTAAAATATTATCCAAAATGAATATGCCAAAACTGTTCTATGTGTGGTTGTGACAACGATCGGAGGTATCCCTAAAGAGGTAAAAAAATTATTTCTCATGTTGATATTTTGAGATTTTCTTCCCAAAAAATAAGAAAGAAATCTTGTCATGGTATAGAGCAATAAAGAAAGCACAATTTAAGGTAACAAAAAGCACCAAAGTGTGCTCTAATAGCACACCAACATTGTTTATGATGAGCTACGATGTGGACAATCTGAGATGTTGTTCTACTTATCGTGCAGTAAATAAAAACGGCACAAAAACCTGTGCTTTTGCCTCAATCAAACAAGCAGATAAGCTCCTCAATTCTGCGTGTCCTTGGTCACTTTTTGTCCAACCACAAAGCTATACAGCGACAGCGATAGAAACAATTTCCATCACCGCGAACGGATATTTCAGCTCTTTCTGAAGTTATTATTAAGATTCACGCTTCGCATTCGAATGCTTTCATCTGTCTGCGTTTATAATAATTGCATAATAGCGGAGCACCGGTTCGAATGGCTGCGCGATCGCAGCATCATTGATGAGAAAAAATTGCTCAACCATCGAGTCGATTTTTCATAGATCGACACGTTATCGACACGTTTTCTGTTTTTTTAATATGAAGTCCGTATATACATGAAATTATGTAATCTTATAATGTGATTGTTGATGGGTTAATGTTTTTCAGGACATACATTGCATTCAAACATCCTCAAAAATCGAGAGGATTACTACGATTTGATGAGAGAATGGCTGGCTCCAGTGACCAACAAGCCAATAAACTGGGTACCATGCTACCAAAGCAGACTTCACGGATGGGCAAGCAGCACTTTCCATTCAAATTGTGATTTTAAAGGCCCGACTATTACAATCATCAAAGTGAACAAATACATATTTGGAGGCTATGCAGACGTCAGCTGGCGTAAGTATTCCAGTTGTTGATCTTTGCTATATTCGGGTGTTAACACAGAAGATCCACCACATTGACACAGCTTTTTATGCTCACAACTAGACCCTGACAGCAGGGTGTACTCGTGCCCTAAAGGTGTTGAAAAGTGCTGTCTTATTCAGTACTTTTTTAAAGTGAGCTCATTTAAAACTTTTCTTGTGTTTGACCAACCATGTAATATACTGTCTTTCTCAATTTTCAAAAATAGTTCGACCGAGTTGACGCTCTAAGGAGGGTCTGGTTTAGATGTAAAGAATAGTGCTACCAAAGACATGCAGTCAGAAGTAACTCCTTGTTGATTACTTTTCATGTAATATTTTAAGCAGCTTTTGAAGGAACTAGATATACAATAATTTTTGACAAATCTTTAAAAGCGTAGAATCAAATCGTTCACTCTGATAGTCTTTCGCGTGAAACATAGTAAGAATATTGTAGTAATTTAAGGTCAAGTATACTACAGTATCAAARTCAGACAGCTCGGCGCCGTGTGGCGAGCGATCTTCGCAAACTACTCATCTGTGAATAGCATTGTTTTCTTTAACCAGAAGAGACAGAATCCCCTCATCAAATTAGAAARTATAGGCTATGCAACTCAGAATCAGACAGCCACGTAGTCAGCTACGAAGTATCGGTTTATATCTCGCCAAGGAAAATGAACTATTTGGCTCGATACACCAACCTTTATGACCTAAACCAATGTCCTAATACATGCTCTTATACACAGATGAATGTTTTGGAATAACAAAAGGCCTCGAATATCAAAGAATTACTAAAAAACTACAGTAAATCCCGGGCAGTTATTGCTGTTCTATGATACGATTGTTTAGAGTACTGGCTCGTATGAAGAAGAGCTGTCGATCGTATAACTTGAGATCTCTTCGCCTTTAACAGAAAACTTTCCGCTATCCCAAATGCTCAGATGAGTAATAAGCGGCAGAGTCTGACCTCAACAGTCGATAATTCCGAGTTTTGAAGAATATTTGTTCAATTCAAAGTGCGTGCTGTATGACACATCCACGGGCTTCATTTATCTACGTATATGGTTCGGTAAGCAGTCGTGATTCCGAAGCTATTCCGAAGCCAAACTTCTGACTTGGAAATAAAAAAAATAACATGAACATTATACGCGCTGCATTCTATAACTCGTGCCGGCGTAGCCTGGGCACGAGTAATAACGTATTATAATTGTTTTCTTTTTTAAAGATACCCAGGGTTCCAGCACATCAGTCAACTCGTTCCTGTTTTCATACGTGAACAGAGATAACTTGAAGCCATTTAAAATGAAAGTTTTTAGACCGCGGTATGCAGTTTATGGAAGTAGCATCGACGGACCAACCTTTGGAGGCGGCTATGACATGCAGATTAGTAATAATGCTGGTAGCAACAAAAAGTCCTATTCGAACCTCGGAAATAGCTATCACATATTGAGCTACAAATATGGATCGACTAAAGCTAAGAACTTGCTTGCAGGATCGTACAACTTTCAGCCAGACGAGGTCGAAGTGTTTTGGGATGGTTTCGGAGAGGTTTAGGTGAAAGAAACTCTAACAAACCATAGGATTGTCGCTTTTAAAACATGTGAAGATGTGTGCAGTAAATGTTTTGCATGTGTGATCAGTTGAAACTTCGCATCTTTGCGAAAATAACTCAGATGGAAGAAGAAAAACTATAGTTTGTTTGGCTTCAGTATATATAGTTGGGCGTAGCTATGAATGAATTGTATTGTTTCAGGGAATAGCTGCGCGCCGCCACTAATCTTGGGCTCCCTGTGGAACACGATTATAGTCTGAGCTGAAGAAATTCAGTTCGAGTGAGTGAGATGTAAATTGACTGTTTTTAAACAATGTATAAACTGCGATTATTGATTGCTAGGATTAATTATCAAAGGAAAGAAAAATGAACTAGATAATGTTCTTCGATGAGTTCTTTTTACATGTTTGCTGCGTACGTAAATGATCTTCGCCGCTCAAGTTTTAGCCTGGATGCATATTAGCATGTTCAGTCAAAAAGGTCAACGGGAATATATATATATTTTTTAATATCAGATTAAGCTAACAATGCGATGAATTTTATATTTGTCGATCTGTGTCGCTGATGTTTTAATGATCGGATTCGAACTAAATGTCCGGCTCATAATGGTAGCCAAAACTGAACTTAAACTCATCTCTAATGATGAAAGCCAAGTGCGCTTATAGTCTCGTTTGGGGCTTTCGATGGCTAGCGTGCAGCGAATGATTTTTAGCGTAGCTAAGGACACGTCTTAATTAAGAGATCACGTGTGCGATTGCGTGTGATCATGTTGGATGTCAATGTCGTAGATTGTAATCACGTTAACTAAGTAGCAAAGTCACNCAGATTAAGCTAACAATGCGATGAATTTTATATTTGTCGATCTGTGTCGCTGATGTTTTAATGATCGGATTCGAACTAAATGTCCGGCTCATAATGGTAGCCAAAACTGAACTTAAACTCATCTCTAATGATGAAAGCCAAGTGCGCTTATAGTCTCGTTTGGGGCTTTCGATGGCTAGCGTGCAGCGAATGATTTTTAGCGTAGCTAAGGACACGTCTTAATTAAGAGATCACGTGTGCGATTGCGTGTGATCATGTTGGATGTCAATGTCGTAGATTGTAATCACGTTAACTAAGTAGCAAAGTCACACTTGTAGAACTCTAAGCTGATACATAATGTACGGATGCATAAGGCGTTTGGCTAGCGTGACACCGATTAGGGTTAGCTGGGACTGAATGTCGTAAAGACCTTAGCTCGAGTCTAACTTTGCTTAAATTACATTTGACCACATCAAACAAATCGCACTTCGAAATGTGTGAAAAAATTATCAACTTAATATATGTACCCTACTACTTAGATAAGAGATATTAAAAAACACAAGAAATATTAATCGATAACCACCTTGATTCACTTTCTATTAGAAACCTCTAGTATAAACCTCTTTAGTATAAACATACTAATGATCTATCACTCATACTGCGCTGTGATTGGCTACTCTACTAATGGTCTAATTTGTGATAGACCACTCGCGGGAAAATCAAAATAAATAAATTGTAAATTGTAAATTATTTTAAGGATATTTCAATTTGTTTTCATTATTTGACCGATTAGTATGTTTATACTAAAACAATTASAMCTCTCGGCCTCGTGGACTACGAGCTAATAGCCCATTCGGCCTCGCGGACTCGGCCTCATGGGCTATTAGCTCGTAGTCCACTCGACCTCGACGTCTATTTGTTAAATATATCAACTTCCGCTATTGCTGCATCATGTTTAGTTGATGTAAGCTGTCGAAAGTTTGCCCTCTCATGATAACTGTCACGAATACTTAGGATGCTGTGACGTGCTGATACTCATATGGCTTGGCGACAACATTATAAATTCCGTGGCGGCTATCATGTTCTCTATGTCTGCAGTCATAATCACATGTTACACCAAAAAAACATCTGACATATATCATTATATCGGCTGCATCATGGGTATATATCTTATGATTTTCGCTCTTTTTTTTTCTGGTAAAACAGGCCGCAAATCACTCATATACTTTGGGATTATGTCTATTAAAGATTATTCAAGCATTATCTGCTGTTTTATGACAAATTAAACGTTTATATTTGACATATCAACGACCCTAAACATTGATATATCTATGAGTTAGCGTCCAGAATTTCTTCAATTGGCTGTATCGNNNNACTTTTCATATTAATGTACCACATCGTATTTTCCATCTTAAGGTCTCCGTCTTTGTCCCGAGATCATGCCTCCTGAGAATGGATACATTGTTGGTCACTTCCTGGCMAACAGAACTCTCACTTTCAACTGTAAACCCGGTTACTGGATCCGTGGAAACCGCCAACTTGTATGTGATCCCAGCWCAGGAAACTGGACWGATTGGAAAGGAAATTTTACCACTAGAGCAACAAACTGTACAAGTACGTGCATGAMAGTATAAGAATTCAATTAACATTTTGGGATTGTTAATGTACAAATTTGKCTTGGAAATTTTTTAGGCCATACGATGCATTCAAACATCCTGGAAAATMGAGAGGATTACTACGATTTGATGAGAGAATGGCTGGCTCCAGTGACCAGCATGCCAGCAARATGGGTACCATGCTACCAAAGTAGAWWTCACGGWTGGTCMAGCAGCACATTCCATTCTCAGTGTAACAGTAAAGGYCCRACTATTACAATYATMAAAGTGAAYRAATACATATTTGGAGGCTATACAGACGTCGACTGGCGTAAGTATTCCAGCTGTTGATGTAGGCTTCTACAAGACAAGGTTTATTTGAGTGTTGGAAAGAAAGGAAGGAATAAGAGAATACTAACATGAACCTCGTCACAGCAACGGAGGAAAACGCATGCACAGACTGCCAGACTACTCCTCAATCTCGCACCCAGAGCCCGCGTTACTTTTGGTCTGGGACAAGTACTTGTACTACTGTTTTTCGTCGAGCTTGCGCAGTAAGGGGGACAGGGGCTCTGGGTACAAGATTAACTACACCTCATCCAAACGTTTGCAGGCCAACACAGCGATAACAGTAGCAGCGAATATTACACAAATTATATAATACTCCAATTTCGAGTTCTTGTTTGCTCTGTGTTAGCCTCAAAACCAAGTAACATATTCTTTTGTTTATTGATAGCCCGAGAAAACGCATGGAATTTGAAAAGAAAAACAATAGAATTGATTTGAAATCTCACACTCTTATTCTCACAATTAGGAATATTTTGCGCACAAACGAGGCTAACACAGAGCATTGTAGAATTCGAAACTGGATTATAGAAAATACTGATTTTTGTACTTCCAGAGATCAGAGATAGTTCTGACACCCTTTTGACAACAGTCCTCATGACGTATTATCCATTGTTTTCAGATTCTGGGGGGTCTTACAGCAGATCAGTCGACTCGTTTCTGTTTTCTTTCGTAAACCATCACAACCTGAAGCCGTTTAAAACCAACATATTCGATATAGAYAACGCCATATATGGAAATGGTGGCTACGGACCGACATTTGGAGACCATGACATATACGTCAGTAATGATGCTGGWAACAACAGGAACTCCTATACACATCTTGGGAATGCCTATGTACGGATTAAGGACTATAGAGCTAATTCAGGTGAAGTGAAGAGCCTTTTTACAGGATCATACAACTTTCAGCCTGACGAGATCGAAGTATTTCGGCAGGATGACGCAGAGATCTAAGTGGCCAAAACAAATATAAGCGAGTGCTTCATCATCGACTTGCAGCATCCAAAAACATAATTAATTGGATCTGTCAAAAACATCATTTAGTGAGTTAGATAGGCATAAAACACAAACAGAAAAAACGCTGGACAGACCAATAACTAGATGAGTAGGCGGAAAAAGAAGACCTGGAAAACGAACGCCCCTAAGATTTTAAAATCGTATACCCCCGATGATTATATATATAATCGTCGGATCCCAATCAAAACCATCAAGATAATTAGCAAATACAAACTAAATTAATTACAAATTTAGCACAGTCCTGCAAATATCATGGTCTAATCGTAATTGCTTATTACTTATAATTATTCATAGCATTTTTTTTGATAAAGATATAAAGCAATGATTTGAATAGCCGATTTGCGAATTTCGCTTAAGTTGTCAAACACAAAAGAATCAAGACGAGGCGCCGTGCGTAAACCTCAGTCAATCGTAAAAAAACTGTTGTCTTTTTACGAATGACTGAGCATTATGCACGTCGCCTCGTCTTAATTCCTTTGTGTATGACTACCGAGGCAAAATTCGCAAGTCGGCCATCTGTTTATAGATATAACATGCGMCATTATGTATGCTAAATATAATCTGGCGTAGAACAACTTAAATTTGTGTCTGATGYCCTTATCCTCTCCCGAATTKCATTTTTTCTAYTGMTGTTAGGATTTCTTGAGGAAACAATGAGGAAACTATGGAAAACACGTTAAAAACGCCTTATATGGGCACTAAGTCTTAGTACTCAAAGGAGCTTTAGATGCTGTTTCTGGTATAAACACTAGTGAATGAGATTACTTTACAGTCTACCTAACAATTGTTCTAAATAATACCACTTAATTCGAAAACGGTTCAAGTACAGAACAGGAATATTCAGAATCTTTCATAATTTCTTGTTTCCGATGAGGTGTTTAMAATGCAGCCAAAAGATTATGATTAATTAAGAACATTGTTGAGTTGACATAACGCAAGAGCCATACAAATACATCAAACTTTTCCTGTTTTTTTTTTATATACATTATTTTTGAAATTCTATAAACTTGGAAGTTACTGCCTATCCCTGAACAAGAATACGAGCTTGCTCAGTTGTAAAATCGCTTTAAACCCTGGACAAATGAAAAATGCTAGATCTCCAAACACAATCAACCATTGTTAGAAGACCTCAACTTTTAACATTTCGGCCAGTTGTTTTGATAGCTTTACATTTTCTGAAATATGAAATCATGTTGCATTGTGGTCTAGCTTCAGTACTAACAGCGCCATATTTGGCTACATGATCAAAATACGTTTGTACTAAATGTAGAAAGCAATGCCATTTCGTTTAATGCTCTTTTATTAAAGGCCCGATTTGTCGTTGCATGAAGCATTAAACATGCTGGATTGTATTTGCAGACGTTTAGCCACCAAAGAATGTGTATTAGACAAAGTGAACAATGAAAAAATAAATAAATAATTGAGCAAATAAATGTAAATTTAATTTATAGATGCATAAGTGAATGTTAAATGAAAACACTCGGTGTTAGTAGACTTTTAAGACCTCAGAGCCTTGGCTATAACCTGAGTCAAGCAAGACGATTTTCACACATTACGGAATAAACTCCCRTGCATTTGGCCATTTTGCACAAGTGTAATACACCCTTTTAATACGTCCCGAGGTATTGTGTTCTCCGCACTTGACGTCAAATTTATTCTTTTGAATTCCTTTTGTATTGTAAAAATTTCAAAAGAATAAATTTGACGTCAAGTGCGGAGAACTCGATACCTCGGGACTTATTTAAAAAAATATGTCTTATGCACTGTCTCAATATGCGATCACCATGTCAACARACGCCCCATTTTCTAAACTAATGCATTATAGGAACCTCGTTCTTATTGAAAATTTTACGCTTAAAACTTTCCCAAATCCACTTTCTTGATTCACTCACAGAATCGCCACGATAACTACTTACATTTTTGCACAGAAATCACAATKAAGTTGAGTTATTATTTATGAAATCTCAATTACTTCTCGGCTTTGTAGTTTACAATCCATCCTACACCACCCCTGCTAAGGTCTTCAGACGTACAATTCTTTGACGTCATTTGCCTGATTCTATAGAAACAAGCTGTGAATGGGAAACGTTTCAACAACAGTTTCAAAAAACTTCGTTTCCTAAGGTTAGCAATCTTGTCCATAATCATCAAGCTGAAGAAATAAGTAAAAGATCGCACTTCATGTGAAAGCCTTTGGTAATGAGTATAAAGTTCTTATCGGGTATGTGTATTTGTGTATTTTTTTTACTAATTGCGTGCGTTTTTAAAATAATTTTAATGCAAACATACAGATTGAGGAAGACCTCCACCTAGAACTTAAAAAGCTACAGGAGAACTTACATCCTTACTGAGACTAAGGCATTAAAAGTGCTGCAAAAATTGACTGTGTTGTCAAAATGGCTTCAGTCCTTATGTAGACGGACATCATCTAGAGCTGGATCCCTTCAAAACATGTAAGTATTTTGAAAATACTTATATAAAATATCAAGATTTTTTTGTACCTGCATTTAATATACAACTGCATAATCGTAAATATACTGTACTCCAAAAAAGTGGAACTTTGTGCAGACTAATTTTCGGTTTTTAAACTACCTCCACCTGCAACTGAGCTTTGGAAAATTCGATTGAATTTGTGTTTTACTTAGAACGGTATAATTATTTATCTAAACCCAATTCTTTATTTTGCGTGATAGTTTAAGGGCTTGGAAGTGGATGAAATAATAACGTAACTCAAGTTTGACAAATAGACGAGTAAACTTCAGTCATTATATAGTATATAAAATAGAGAAGTTATATTCCAGCTAGTAAATAAACTTGACGGTTAAATAAGGGCGTTATGTGTTTCGAGCATCGGGTTTGAAGGTACTATTTGACAATTTCTTAGTTAGGAAATTTAAACCTCTTCTATATTTACTGTTTGTAAGGGAAAAGTAATTTAGGAAATGTTTGGTTGTTTTTCTAATAAAAACCACAGAGAGACCCCACGTTTTGTAGCTTTTTTTYC